CACACACACACACACACACACACACACACACACACACACACACACACACACACACATACACACACACGTGTGTGCGCGCGCGCGTCACACACCATAAAATTGGTGTACTTCGCGTGACGTCGGCAAGACAGCGGAAAGGCGGCAGTAACGCGGCGGTAATGAGGTGACATACAACGGCAATGCGGCGATGTGGCGGCAACGCGGCGCATACCGACTCGCGCTCAGCCCTGAGCCGGCAAGAGAGATCAGGCAGAGACTACCTTGATTCAGCCGACTGTCTGCTTGCATTAGCGGAAGAGGCTGCTCGCCGGAGCGGTAACATAACCGTTCGTATCTCCGAGCATAATTTACTAGCAAAAACAATAGTATATTACTCTGCTCTATCTTTGCTTATCGGTATTACGGAAAGGAGAAACAAATTCAGTCAGTGCTTCCTCAATTTCAATAGTCCAACCGTAGTTACCCGTGCGCAATCTCACGCACAGAGATAGCCCACCAGGCTGTGCGACGGATTGTCTATACAGCCTGACACCCTTCCATACAAAAAACCTATCACCTCTGCAGATCTAGATGAATAACTCTGTATATCTCAAATAAAACTATTCTATTACCACCTTTGACTTGCCTTGTTTGAAATAATTATGAACGTTAACTCACAGTTGTCCTGCTTCTAAACTAGAATGTATCTCTTAATTCACGGTATAATCTGCTAATTCTCACAGCTTATCAACTTTCCAATCAGCTTTACCCGCCATGTTTAGCGAGGCACGGAAAACCCGAAACGGAAAAGACTCGCTAGAAAGTACTACAGAAATAGTACGATGGCTCTCATGGCAATTACACACCAAAGCAAGTGAAACGATGTTCACGAATGTCTGGGCCATTTGTAAAAACCTTAGATGACATGTTCTCGGATGTAGGGGTGGTTTACATGAGGACCGCAGATCGTTTAATTTCGCTTGTTCGATCCATTGTTCGATCCATTAGTCACAGTCGGAATGATAGCAAACATGGCGGCGAATTCGTAAATGTTGTTGCATTCGTCTCAAAAAGTCGTTGTAACCCCGTAAGTACCCAGCGCATCGTAGCGCACTGATGGTTACAAGAAGGTGGACGTATACTGATTCATTTGGTATATCACATGTGTAGTGTTCTTTGGCGATACTTGGCAAATAAGGCAACTACGTGTTTAGCTGCAGCAAAGGTTTGAAACGGTATTGTAACCCTAGCAATACCGTTTCTTGGACCTAGCACAGAGATTGCACGTGGAATCAAACCTATTGGTGAAGATTTATCGACGTGACTCTGTTTTGCCCATAATAATAACCGGAATGTAAAGGCGATACACGCTATCGATAGTTTGACTTACCGCCCCAGTGCGGAAAGACAAAAAGAGGTATCGACCCATGACAGCGTGTGAACATGGCACGATATGAGTGTAACAGTGACTGTGGTAGGGATAATAACTCTGCCGTTATTGTGTTAGATCTGCGCAATTGCTGTGTCATACAATAAATGGTGTCTAACGTATGTATGTATAGCAGTTTAATCAGAAACGCCGAGGGATAGACCTTTCAAAGATCAATGATTTTTAGTTTATTTGACGGAATATAATCCTATTCAAGGCAATGACTTAATGGTTCCGTGTCTGTGAAGGCGATCAATGTATAATCGATAAATGCATCACAGCGATCTTCAGCAGTTCGTCTGTTCGAGTATGCGTGCATGCGCGTATTGTTACATGCGTAGTGGTGTGTGCATGCGTGTGCGTATGTGTACTGATCTGCATGCGCTCTGTGTGTTTGTGTGTGTGTGTGTGTGTGTGTGTGTGTGTGTGTGTTGGTGTGTGTTGTGTGTGTTGTGTGTGTATGTTTGTCTCTGTGTGTGTGTGTGTGTGTGTGTTGGGGGGGGGGGTATTGCCCTGGCCCATATGAGCAAAAAACACAAATACGCAGGCAAACTGCATGTTCGCAAGCAAACCGCAAGTTGCCGTTTGCTTGTGACTTTTATATTGACCACTGAAAGCGAATAGCGCTAGCACTGTGTTCAATCGATTACAATAGGCTCAATTTCTAGGACGAGTTCAAGCGTACTTTCGCCAATTCGCTGATCGCCATTGTTGCTCTCAGCGGACCGCTTGCCCTTTTGTGCTGACTGCGTAGACGAGTGCTCGTCATGATATCATCTCTCTCACAATGTCTGCTTAGTGAGATTGGACAATCGCGCGCGTGGGCACAAACGACGCCACACCCGACTAGCGTGAGAAAATGGCACGAGTTGTGCCCTAGCCTCCGATCTGTGGTGGCGCAGCCCTGTTAAATAGCGAGGTAATTCCATCTGGGTTACCGGGGCAATTTCAGATCGGTAATCGTAAAATCCGATACGTCCGGTAATTAGCAGTGGGACATACATACGCCTAGGTGCAGGTAGGCATATTTCGCGCTCGAACAGGTATTTCCTTTGTGCTAGGACGCATGTAGAATTTACTCTGATTGCATGATAAAAGCATTATCGCTTAACTGTTAGATAGCAATAAGGCGGTGTAAAACGAACTAAAACCGAACGGCGGCGATGACCCTCGTCCTCTCCCGATCACAGACAGCCCGCCCGTTCCTGTTTTTAGCTGAGTCGGTGGATTATCGGTCGGGCGTAATCTGGGTTAGCAGGGGCGAATCGTGGATTGCTGCTGTCATGCATCAATGTCGGCCAGGACGCGGGTTAAATACGCGTGCTCAACACGTCATTATGTTCGGTGCTGAGCAGGTAGCTGATGTGGACATCCAATACGCAGGCGATCGCAGCGGGGAGAGTGATCGACAGTGAACGGTTCTGCCGCTATTGTTTGATCGTTAGCCTTTCTGACCGCTAGTGTTCGCCTATCGGGCCGCTAGTCATTTATCATTAGTGAGTGTATGACCGCCACCGTGTCTTACCGGGGCTCTCGGTAACTCCCCGTGTACATGCGAAACCCTGCAATCGATGTCACCCGAGACGTACACGAAAACCCGATGCTACGAGGCGCGTATGTGCAATCCTGAAGTGATACACCGAAGTAGAACCGCGGGCTGCGTGAATTTGCTGCTGCTGCGACGAATATAAGTCGGCAGTAAGCACACGTGTACGACAGATAGAAGCGACACAGGTGGGACGTCGACGGCGGCTCTGATAGAGGCAGAGGTCGTTATTACGAGTGTTGTGTGCGTGCTTGCGTGCGTGCGTGCATGCGTGCGTGCCTGTGGGAGTCTCTCTCTCACACTCTCTGCGTACGTTGTGTGTGTGAGAGGAGAGGAGGTGTGGATAGCAGGTGGGTAGGATATGAGGGGTAGGAGAGGGTATGGGAGTGTAGTGGGATTGGAGTTGAAGTGAGAGGATGTGGAAGAGAGATGTTGCGTGGCATGTGGGAGCATGGACGTGTGGGTAGTCCGGTGTGTGAGTGGGGGTGGTGTGGGAGCTGGGTGGGTGCGTGTGTCGTCGGTGGAGATGTATTGTGTCGTGCGCGCTGTGCGTGGTGTGGCGTCCGATCAACATGCTTCTTATCCGCGCTGTCAAGTCTCGCTCTCCATGCGCGGTTGCTAACGCTGGCAGTCAACCATCACTTCCTTGCGGCCCCGCAACCAACCGGTCACTGCCTTCCGTTCGGAGTGCATATGGCGTAATTTCCGCATCGTCGCCAGATGGAGAGTCAGTAAATACGGACGATAGACATGATACGCTGTCGGCGCATGGTGACGCACTACGGCCGGTTGTCATAAAGTCATGGTGATGCGATACGAATACTAGTGTGCGCGCAGGAGTATGCGATGTTATATCAGTAAACAGACGTTGGTGACAATACCTCACGTGCTGGCGCAAGCACCGTTATGTCTGACTCAGCAGATGATTTTCATGGTGGCTCGGCGACACACAGCGTGGAAGGCACGACTGCGACATTTATACTGCAAGATCCCTTGGCTCGGGAAGTGTCGACAGTTTTACATGGCGATCCGTGGCGAACAGCAGCGTTATCATCGTCGTCGTCGTCGTCGTCGTTATTGAACTACTTCGGTGACGCCCTTGCTCATTTGCTAAACGTTTTGAAGCGGTGGAGAGGCGCGGAAAGAGAAAACGAATCCACAGATGAGGAGACATTTGTCAGAGTAAGTATACTTAGGTGTAAGCCTAACCTATTGTCATAGTTTTACGTGGCACTACAATCATAACCTTCAACAGAATGTCACAATAAAATACTTATTAAGATTTGCTCGCATTTACGTACTAAAATTACGGTGATAGGCACACATTATACAGGTCACACGCGGACATATAATAGTAGTAGTAATAGTAGTAGTAAAAATAGTAGTAGTGGTATTGGTAGTGGTAGTAGTAGTGGTAGTGGGCGTTGGTAGTGTAAGTGTTTAGTGGCGTAGTTGGTAGTGGTAGTGGTAGTGGTAGTGGTAGTGGTAGTGGTAGTTGTATAATGGTGTCGTGGTGTAGTGGTGTACTGGTAGTGGTAGTAGTAGTAGTAGTAGTAGTAGTAGTAGTAGTAGTAGTAGTAGTAGTAGTAGTAGTAGTAGTAGTAGTAGTGTAACGTTGGAATGATTATAGGAAGCCAAAGTTGTTGTAGTAATCGGAATAAACTTTAATAACGCATACACAGTGCGTCACAGCTGCGCAACAAAGAGAAACAATAGAACGCGCACGACGCACTTACGCGCGTTGTGCTCACTCCGGCGGCCCAGAACCCCCCGAATCCTCTCTTCCTAACCATCTCTCTCTCATACTTCTTCACCAACTGCTTACTATCCTGATACGCACATGTTAATAGTCGCACCGTTCTCCTTCATATACCGCGTCCTACCTCGCCATTCACTACCCATTTCAACATGACGCTAGAAAACGCTTAACCTAAAACCCGCTTATCCAACTCCCTGTAACAGCAACTGCACGCCGTCCCAATATGTGCACGCTGCATCTACGCAAACTAACTGTTCACGCCAAACAAGCCCTCTAGTCTACTCTTGCCTCTCCTCGACTACTTTATGTAACACGTGCAAGAAGAACATTTACAGTAGTAGTAGTAGTGAGTAGTCATAGTAGTATTAGTAGAACGTAGTATAGTAGTAGTATAGCGTAGTATTATAGTAGTAGCCAGAGGCAGTAGCATTTGGGTAATTAGAGTAGTGAGGTGTAGTAGTAGTAGTAGTAGTATAGTATAGTAATATAGTAGTATTAATCAGTATAGTATAGTAGTAAGTATAATAATAAGTAATAATAAATAATAATAGTCCTGGGTATGACTTTTAAACTGCATCCGGTTGGGAGTGCTTCAACCGTGGGAGAATGAGGTTACGCCTTGTGCCACAAACTACGGCTCCAGTCACCCTTGGAGCAGAGGTGTACACCTGTTAGCTCTCGCCGAACTCTGAAGAGTATCGGTTGGCCGTCCAGACGGGGCAAGGTTGTCACTCATTATGGTAAGTAGGGGACTCTTCTTTAGCCTTGAATGGCAACCCGCTAGAGCATGTGGTGTCTCGTATAAAAAATACCGCCTCCGATCTGAGTAGCAAACTCCCGATAACAACTGTGACATGATGTCCACGGTACGCTATGGACGTGCCCTGATGTCGCAGTAAAGTTTGCCCTTAGTACTATGGTTAAATAGTAAAATTATCATACATAATGAATAACGCCAATACGAAACGTCATACGCGCATTCGCTTCGTCGCGCGGTCAACAAGGAGCGCGCTCCTCTAGTGATCGCCCGAACAACTGAGCGTCGAAAAATCGTTATTGAGTCGGGCAAACTTAACAGCAAGCCTTCGAGAATACAACCTAGACCGAGATCCAATCTCAAGTTGGCCCTAACTGAAGCGAGCACCAACACCGAGCGACAACAGTCCACCAACGGCGGAAATATCACGGCAAGCAGAAAACAAGAAACCAGTGTACAAAGGATCAATAAAGGATTGATGTGGTCCTATTATTAGCCCAAGAGAACCGAACAACAACGATATGGCCGAGGGGTAAGTAAACAGGTAGCATGACATACGATCTGCGAGCAGGAATCCAAACATCTTCCAGAGCCACAACCCAATCTCAAATACTCTGCTATACCCATAGGTGATTATTAAGAACAGAAGGCTTACGCGATACTGAATCTTGAAGAGAGTAGTGCAGCCTGTTGAACAGCAAAATAATTGCAATCGCAACAACACTTATCCCACTAGCAACCTGAAGGACCTACAACCCCCAGAGCCGCGAGCAAACAAACACCAGCAGCAGTACCGATACCAATAAAGCTGAATAAAGTAGGAGATCATGGAAATCGAATCTCCTACTAAGCTGCTTGAAAACTCAGCTGCAAATCCCCTGGATCAACGCACGAAGCCTGAAAAATTCACTACCAACCAAGGGCAATACCGCGCACGATCATTCAAGCTGGCTAAATCCTCGGCCCTCACCAATATCATCAAAGATAAACCATCGCTAAACTTATTCAAAATCAATGAATTTCATGTACGCGCGATCTCGGCTGCTGTTATTGCTGGAGAGACAAAAGAGAGAGTCACCGAAGCCCCACAGTGGCAACCAACTAATGGAAGACAGAGAACTTGCAAAGCAAAAATTGAAACCATCGCAGATCTCTCCATCCTATTAGCGAATATAAAAAGCGTGTCCAAGCAAAACAAGTACATCCAAGCGCAAGGAGGCACTATGCAACGCCAGCCGAAGGGAGACCATAAGACCGTATCCGAGCTCGCCAGCAAGAAATGACACGATGCAAGCTACAGGCCATAAGCTCAGAGGTTTAGAGAAGGTTTACTAACGGCAGTGAGCAGCTACTATCAGGAATAACCTCTCCCATAAGACCAAAAAAATTCTACCCGGCATGCTCAACGAGCTCAGCCAAAAGCACTATCAAGGAACCTCCCTCTAAACGAGCTAACTACGATCATGCTCTGCTAGGAATATCGTGCAGAGGTTTGCATCAGGACCACAAATACCAAAATGGCCATCTGGATCTAAGACATAGAGCGAGGAAGTCATTTCCAAATAGTGTACATTTGGAGTTCCATGGACTGACATTACAATATGTGTGAAGCTAACAGCAAGGCCATTAAGCGGACACACTAAGTGGAAGTCTCCTGCCAGACAAGCTGCAACACCTATCTGGATTAAGCATTTAAGTGACCTCCAGTAAACCAACCTAACTCAGGGCCTTGAATGACACTCATCAAGGATCCAAGGCAATAGCCCTAAGTTGTTGACAATCAAGGAATGCCCCTTCTTCTTCAAAAGCCAGGATACAAATGAACCCTAAAACTATCGACCAAATCACTTGCCTAGCTACTCACCTACAAATTCTCACTGCTTACCAATCAGCAACCGCCTCTCAAAATCACTTACAGAAAGAGGTCGACATTGCTCACAGATAAGCAGAAAGGACTGTAGAAGAAAAAAAAACGCGTCTAAGGGTGGCAAAGACGCAAACTTCTCATTAGTAAAACATGATTGTGAGCATGGCAAAAAAAGTCAAGGGAACCTAGAAATGGCGTGATCTGATTATAAGAAAAGCCTCGTACATTGTCCCCACATTCCGGATTTGCTCGCACAGCCATCGAGAATCTAGCCGTGTGTCCAACCAACTCACCATTCAGCTTCAACTGAAGTCTACAATGAAGAAATGGAAGACTGAAATGCTCCTCTTCACTCAAGGAGGCTGCCCTCAGGACAGAAATATGCTGCAATCAAGAGAGGAATCTCACAGGTACTCGCTCATCCGCTCCCCTCTGCATCTGCTTACCAACACCTGCTTACCAACATGCGAATAGACAGGGCCTGGGATTTACAGTCGAGGTAAACACAATACCACCAAACCACGCTGCTCTACATGGATGACTATTAAACTGTTCAAACCCAAGAACGAATAATTGGAGCAGGCCTTGGAACAGTCAGAAGCCATGTCAGTGAATGTACATCAAAAGGAGTTGGCCTTATTGAATCGAAATATTGAAATCAATTGAGCTTGATGACAAGGACAGCCCCTAGCAGAAGTCTAAACCACGAGACACCTACAAAATATCTTGGTGAGACAAAGGATGGTATCAGCCAGCAAAGATGAAGAGAGGAACATGCTAAGGAGTACTATCGCCGAGTTTTCGCCTTAAGTTCTCAGTCTGAGCCTGCTCAAAAAACAAGTAATCACGATAAAAATAGCTGGCACTGCGCCCCAGTCCCCGGTTACAGCTTCGGGTGACTCAACTAGCTGCGAGTCAATATGCGAAGAATGATCGCCAAGACAAGAAAGCTACTAACCATGCACGGCTACATACCACAAAAGCAGATTCGTAGAGCGACTGTACATCAAAAGGAAAAATGGGTCGTGTCTCATTGATAAGCTGATGTCTGCTACAACACGTGCCATGTATTCTAAGCGACTACACTCGAACTTAAGGAAGACAGATTTACTCAAAGCTTTATCAAGAATTTCATTCAGTCGGAAATAGTCAAAGCACGCTCTCTTACGGTGAGGCCTAAAAGAAATCAAAGCCAAGTACTTGTCTCCTCAGTCCCGCCCAGCCAAATGCCTCACAACAGCAAGACACTGAAGACCAAATATCAGAAAGCAGGAGAAAATGCGAGGTAATTCGAAGAACTAAGCCTTTGGCATGGAAAGATCTACAAGAGCCATCGACAGCCATCTGTCGAACAAGATCTGTCAAGCAGTTGCCTGGCTCAGTATTCCGGCGTCAAAGGGAGATCAGAAAGCTGATCATGCACGCTCGAAAGACAAATCAATCACCCAGATACATCAACCGGCAACATCCCTCAAGCAAACAGGTCCAAGCGAAGTGCAGAATGTGCAGCAGAGCAGAGGAGACTATCAGCCACATCATCTCCGGATGCACAGTGCTGGCTCCAACCGAGTACATAAATCGCCATAACAAGGTAGCCAGCTATCTGCACTGGTTAATCTGCAGTGAACTTGGTGAGCAAGTATCTGACAAGTGGTATGAACATACTCCGAGACCAGTTACCAACATCGGAGATACTACCATAATGTGGGATATGGCGGTGCAGACAGATTGCACGATACCTGCAAACCGCCCTGATATAGTGCTCCACAACAGGAAAGAAAAACGATGCCTGTTGATTGACGTAGCTGTACCAGATGACTCTAACATTATGGTAAAGGAAAGGGACAAACTCACCAAGTACAAAGATCTGGAGATTGAAATTAGGAGGATGTGGAATACAAAGACGACAATTGTACCAGTGGTGGTTGGAGCCCTTGGGTCTCTAAAGAATGGTTTTGAGAAGAACCTTAAGGAACTCCCTGGCCAACACACTGCCCAAGAAGTGCAGAAAATCGCACTACTGGGAACAGCACACATCCTGCGAAAAATTCTGGATTGAATCCCTATGTCCCAGGTTGGGACACGGTCAACCCAGAAGCCACCGGCTAATGCCGTGATCCACTTTGGAGATAATAATAATAATAATTGTGTATTTGTCACTCAAGGGTTCGGCGCTGTAAGCTAGCACTGATCCTCCTTCTATCTCACCAGCATTGTGAATCTAGTGCGTTTACTACACAGCTCGGTTGTAACGCAGTGACGGAATTTTACCAATGATCAGCGTTGTCTTTGTGTGTAATTATCTTCCGGTGTACAGCTATTATGCAAAACTGATCGTCTCACTGATTCCGGTTGCACATAGATATATACTTGCTGTTGCCGAGGTCACGACAATCACTACCTATCATAACAGCGGTTACAGTTTACCGGGCCACGCTCGTCGCTCGGTCGAGTGTGCAAATACTCGTCATACCGTGGAATATCCCAACGCGGCAGCGCGTGGGACCGTAACATTCCTTGCGAGCGTTAATAACCCGTTGTCGTCGTGCGCGTGTGGGTACATATTTTCGTCGTACTCACCCTACGACGCAATAATGATCGGTAGAGTGCTCATGAAATGTGAATGCGTGTGTGAATATAGAAACTCGCCGATTACTCTAACTCGTTCGATGTCGCTGATGAGTATCTATTCTGCGAGCTATTCTTCTAGCATTTCAGCACGGCCAATGTGGTCTTGTAGTATCTATATTTCTCCAGGAAGCTTTAAGCAAGATGGCTGACGCACTAACAACATGAAAAAACGCAGACGTACACGACGAATAAACACGACACAAATATCGGCAAAGGTTATGTAAACACGTACAATCGACGGGGGAGAGAAACAGCGACCCTGACAACGACCATAATTGCGGACTCTGCAAACAGTCGATCGTTTCCACCAAACGAGGACGGATTGGTAACGTTTACTCGTTTAGTACGCTTTACTCTCGCGGTGGCGTAACGGCGCATTTCCACGCAGTGCAGTGATGACGTGTGTGGATGTTGCAGGAGTATCTAGAGCGCTACGGATACCTGGGAAACAGCGAGTCCGGGAGCGATGCATCAACAAATGTTGTGTCCGAAGCTATAAGGTATTGCCCAGTCAGCTTTGTACACTGTCCGTAAATACGTATATTACATAAATGCACACGTAGATATTATAGTCAAGTATAGGTAATAATTGAAAGACTACGCACACACCGACCCGTTCATCAACATATCTACACTATTTATACACTAATATTGTATATGTATATGTATATTTATATGTATATGTATATGTATATGTATATGTATATGTATATGTATATGTATATGTATATGTATATGTATATGTATAAGGTATACTGTACTAAGTGTATATTTATTATGTATATGTATAATTTATAATGTATATTATATGTATAATGTATATATATGAATGTATAATGTATATGTATATGTATATTATATGTATATTATATGTATATTATATGTATATTATATGTATATTAATATTATATGTATATGTATATGTAATGATACTTATATATATGTATTAATGTATATGTATATGTATTATGTATATATATGTTATGTATATGTATATTGTTATTATATTATATGTAATATGTTATATGTATATTATGTATTGTAAATGTATATAGTATATAGTAATATAATTATAATATATTATATTATAGTAGATATATATATATATACATAATATATCTGTCCTTGGAAATATATCATCTTTCTATGTGTACACAACACAAAGACCTCTCGTTGTAGGAAGTTTCAACTCATGGTCGGTATGAACGGATCGGGTGACATCACTGACGAGGTTGTCAGGCACATGAAGACTCCCCGATGTGGAATGAAGGATTTCCTCACCGAGCGCGAGCAGACGATTATGCTCAACTACACTAGCGTCCTCGGCGGAGAAAACGGCAAGCCAGTGAGCGCCTTTTTTTAAACACGCGCATGCGCAATCAGAGCGGTAATTACCCTAACTTTGAGGCCTACTGTATACGAAGTTCCTATTAAAGCCTAATGTCCTTAGACTTACTCGTCTATCGCACAATCTCGTTTGCATCGACAAATTACAAATTGACACCCTTAACAAATCTCGCGACTCGATGTCATTTTCGTTGTGTTACGATGTGTTGCAATATTCGATGCTATAACTGCATAAAATCGGAGTGTTTTTTAAGTTAGTTTAATCAGTGATATTTCCGCTGTGAGGTGAGACTACTCGATTATAGGTCGTCAGCATGCGCGAATTATTTTATTAACGTATCGTGACGCTCGCAAATTGCTGATGAGTAAACGTAGTTTCAATCGTCTCCGTAAACGTTTACGTGTGAATGACGAGGAATAACGAACTGTGAGTGCCGAGTGATGCCACGTTATACTGATAGCTATTTAATACAGTAAGAGTACAGCGTAAACAGCCGTATTTGTGTGAGAATGTGTGCGTGTGGTGTGTGTGTGTTGTGTGTGTGCGTCGTGTGGTGTGTTGTATTGTGCTGTGTGTGTGTGTGTGTTGTTGTGTATGTGTGTGCGTGTGTGTGTGGTGTGCGCCGCGTGTGTGTGTGGTGGTGCGCGCGCCGCGTGTGTGTGGTGTGTATGTGTGTGCTATAGTTGTGCGCGCGCGTGATGTGCTGTGTGCATGCTGTGCGGCGCCCGCGTGTGTGTGTGTGTGTTGCGCGCGCGCGCAGCGGTTTTTACCCGCCTTTGTTGTGCTGTGTGGTGTGTGTGCGTGCTGTCGTGTGCTGTTGTGTGTGTGATCGTGTGTTGTGCTGTGTGGTCATGTGTGTGTGTGTATTCAGTAGGCATATCGTATTGCTCGCGTTGTGTCTATCTTTAATTAGTCAGTGCTTATGCACATTGATATCTGCATTATTGAAAAGACATTTTTGGGTATCAAAATCTGGGTTCAATATGTTCCTCAACTAAGAATTTTTTTGAGGAGCCTCAAAAATTCATGAACCGCCCGCGGAAAGCCCCCCCCCACTCTATTGGGCGCCCAGGTACAGGGACCGGCGAACTGTTCTAGCCATTCTTCGCCCCCCTTCCACTCCCTCGAGCACCTCGATTTGAAATAACTCAAGTTAGATCGATTTAGGTTGTTTTTAAAGCATCAGGAATAACGATTGGGCGTAGTTTGGAACCTGAATCGTCAATAGGTCACGAAGATATCATTCACTTCGCATAGTCTACCGTCGCGAGCCGAAAATGGTTTTCCCACATATCTGCAAGGCTATTTTCTAACAAAAAAACCGCTCCTAGAGTCACTTTTGGGCACGCTTTTGAGGTATCAAAGAATTTATTACATGCAAGCATGATGACCACTTTCCAGACTCTGAAAATGTGCGGGGCTTTTTCACTTAGGTAGGTGAAGTACAACTATCCAAAATCTGAACAGACTGACGTCCGAAAGCACATTCGTCCTCGTCCAGTTGTTACATTATACAGCCCACACTGACTGCTATATTCATCACTGATACAGCTGTCAATTAGTGATTTGTGCACTTCCTGAGTAGAAGCAAGTGGCAGAAAGACAAGGCACATGAATTGTTATACGGATTCATGACGGCACTTGAGTCAGCGATCTTGCGAGGTTTGGCTCTGCTGCGTCCATGGTCCATTGAATGTGAAGTTGTTCTGATAGAGTTCCCATCCCCACAATCTTAGAAGGGAGGGGCTGGGATCTGAGTGAGGGTGTTAGCCCATCACGCCATCCTGCCTTGATAGGCGCTGCGAAAGTACCGCCAGTCTGACAGGAATCCAAATGAAGGTGGGAGGTCCTTAACCATCAGAACCTGAGCCTGGAACAGTGGAGAACCGCGCAGTTCATTGAGATCTTTGGTAGCACCTAGCTCCTCTTTTTAGAGTATACAATAGCCACACAAAATCCACAATTATTTTCTGTGCTGAATGGATCAACTTGTTCTGCTGGGTACGCAGCTCTAGTTGTTTTAACTGTCATCTGTCAGTTCATGCCTCATCGAGCACTTATTCCATTGAGAAAACCACATCGTCTTGGTCAGACTTTGTAAGAAAGATCAGTTAGAATCGCGCCAGTGAAGCAGTGGTAAGAATGGCAAAGGCTAAAGCAGACGCTCCTTCCCTAGTGAACTCTAAACAAACATTGACATGAATGTTCTTCCTGTTCTTTTCCAAGAGTTAAAATCAACATGAGCTCAAAGTCAGGGCTCGATCTTGAGGGAACTGGGGTCATAAAGGCGAGAAAAGAATGACAATGACTCCTGTGAATCCAACTGTCGTACATCAATCGCGCATAAACCGACATGCCATATATGTCAATTATATGCAAACACCATCCTGTTGTCGCGCCTCTTCTAGTTTTTTCCATCTTTTGCATGTATGCATGCATATGATATCCTTCACAACATTTGTTGAACATTTCCAAGACCATTAGTGACACAAGATAATCTTTCTTTCCAGGACAGAGAGGATGGGTTACCACAGCTTTCCGCAATTAGTGCCATAAGTCTGGTCTTGTTCTGATCAATCTGTGACGAAAGATTTAGACAATATCCTTACGGACAGGCTATCCCACCAGTCCAAGTTTAACATTGCTGTCCTGAATCTATTGAACCTCCGATTCCGCAGCGGGTGGGCCTCTTGAGCTTAACTGGCTTATACTGTCTGTACAATCTTGATTCGAGTATTACGCCAGGCGTGTGGCAGGTTCTCATGTGCCTGCAGGGCCCTGAGACATAATTTATTGACAGTTACCTGCTGAAGGACTGCAGCCTCGCTCGATTGAATCATAAAAAGGTCAACAACGAGACCTTTCTACATTTGTTTGACTGTGTAAGCCGCGTTGTCGGTGACTGTCAGCCAAAATCTGTGACTTTGAGAACTGTGATAAAGAAATCTCATCCTAATTTTGGAATGAAAGCACCAGGTACCGGTTATCTCCCCCTCAAAAAGTTTTCTTTGTCTCGATTTCACGCGTTTTGCAAGCATCTCTCAATTTGTTGAAGCAGTTGCTGGGGTGACCTGATGCTGAGGCGTTGCTAATATCCGACACATCGGCACTGCTTGGAAGCTTCAGGCATGTTTCTGTTACTTTGATTATGATAAATGATCTTTCACTTCCATAGACAATCTAGGCTGCGACGAAACTCGTCCATAACTGTTGCACCCAATTGTGAACACCCTTTCTGGCATTATCGACATGACGCTCTGGAGATATAGGAGGAATTCAGTCTTGCCCAAACAATTCTGAGGTAAATGGATTGATAAAAATTTTTACTGTGAATCTTTGACAGTCTGATATGAACTTTAGGATTAAAGAAAGGGTGATCTGCCTTGGACGCTTGAGCTAATTTAGACCCTCTCTATTGCAGACAAAATCGGTGCGAATTTTGGGCAGGGCAGAGTTCAAGCTTACGAAGTATAATTCTTCTGTCGCTCGCGATTACGAATCGACCAGGTACCCAGCCGTTATTTGATTCTTGTTGTGTGTGTTTCTTGTGCTTGGCTCCAGGGCTATCTTAAGAATGCAGTTGCCTATGCATCAATGGGTAACAGCCCTCACCAGATCTTCAGTCCCTCCTCTTGAGATGTGTGGATTGAAACTTATCAGACACCAACAGCCACCATTCAATGGACCACAGGACGCAGCCACAGACCAAACGGCTCGAGATCGTGAAAATGGCCATTGTCGCTGCGAACACTCCAATTGGCCGGTCATGAAAAATATGAGCTAAGAACAATGTCATGTGCCTTTCTTTCTGCACTTGCACCAGGAAGTGCACAAATCTCTAATTGAAGCATGTACAGGATGATATGCAGTCAGTGTGGGCTGTGTATGTAACAAGTAACCGAGGACGATTGCGGACTGTCAGTTTGTCAGATTTTGACTACGTGTAGGCCCCTACTACTACCAGGTGAAACCAAATTTCCAGGAGTCTGAAAGTGTATCATGTGTATCTAATAAATCCATTGACCTCAAAACCCCAAAATTAAAACTTTTTGAGAAAATAGCCGAGATATGTGAAAACCCATTTTCGGGCTCGCGAGGTGAACCCGAAGGAACGATATCTCGTGACCTATGACAAATTTAGGTTCCAAACCACGCCCAATCGATTCCTTGATGTTTAATTAAAACCCCAAAATCGACTCTAACTTTGCTCAAATCGACCAAAGAAGGGCAAATATATGGCAAATAACAGTTTCGGGTCCGTTACCGGGCCCATAGGTGGGGGGGGGGTTCCCGGGGTCAAATTTTTGGGCTCCTTAAAAAACTTCTTAGTTGAGGAACATATGAACCCAGATTTGACCCTTAAAAATGTCTTTCATAATTTGCAGATTTGGGCTCTATTACGTGCATAAGCCTCCTGACTATATGTGTGGTGTACGCGCGTGAGCGCGCGCACCTACCTGTGCGTATGCCCGTACGTGCATGACTGGTTGTGTGCGCGCACGCGCCTATGTGTATATGCATACGTGCGTGCGCGTGTATGTTTGTGTGTAGGTATACGTATATACATAGTGCTTTATTGCAGGTTTTTTTACTCGCTGGTGGGAGAGATGTGAACTTACCTGGCAGCTTGTGAATGGAACTGAGAAAATTAACAACTATTACGTCAGGTGATTGGCACTTAATTTTTTAGCAAAACGTGTAGCCCGTACCGCCAATCATAATGTTATTATGGCTAATTTATCATGTATAACAAGTCTTAATGTAAAGATATCTAGTGCAATCGTCGTGGGTCTTTTCGTTGGTTCTTTACGCGTACGCGCGATCACATGCAGTTTTTATTAATTCAATTCAAACGAAATGACCTGAAACTGTGCGCTATATATTTATCGTTCTCTATTTCTTCCCGCGACTACAGGAGAGTTCTGGCGCAAGCTCTGTCACAGTGGGAAAACGCAGTCAACGAAGGCAGGCGGTATCCGGTGCTCACGTTTCGTGAAACGCGCGGACACCGGCCCGACATCAGATTCGGATTCAATTATGGTAATTAATCTGTAGCTGCGCTGATGCAGGAACAAGCTGTAAAAATTCAGCAGGAAAGCTGTAATTATACTACAATAAGACGTTAATTGTGTGGCTAGTGAGCACAACTTATTTCCCCGGTGCCGCACTTGTTCAGCTTCCCGCTCTTTTATTCCGCGAGCAAACACGATAGCATCTCGCCCGACGTAATTACAACTTCTATCAACGCGCAACATGAAGTACGAAATCCCTCCTCACCGCGCTCGGAGTCTTTAAAGTCATGCTCCATTGCCGCTGTAATTGTAAGAATAAAATTCGAGTCGACAAAATAAGCCTGTTTAATTCGTTACGGCCATATACGCCTCAGCGAGAAGGGGAGAAAAACTACACACGGGGTCCAATCACTGTGTTAGTAGTATGTGCAGCATGTGGTAGCAACACGTTCCACCGCACCGTGACGTACCACTGCATAATCCGATGTTGCGATTAACTGACTGCAATAAATCAATGGCGGAGTTACAGTATAAAACCGCGGCTAGCTTCCAATGAATGCTACTTACGCATAGACCAACAATATCAAGACACGACACGTAGTATACAATCAGTACTTAAATCTGTTGCCGGATATACTATACCGCCACCTAGCGTTATTCCCAGATGCGTACTCGCGATAAAACTCTATAATTCTTAATAATAAAAGTTATAATTTTTAATTATGAATGTTTTTTTATTATAATTTTTTGACAAATTCAGTAAAAATCAGAAACTTTAGCTAGCAATTAAATTAACTTTATAACGCCTGTTGTTCATTGTTTGATTCATTATTATTAAATCATCAAAATTTGGACAGGTACATGCAGCGTACAGGTGCAGCATCAATAATACTAATGAATTGTTATATATGTATATATATATATATATATATATATATCAAGAAATAATGGCAGATAGAGTTTACGGCAACGTTTTTCTATTTTAAATGCAAATCTAGAACATATATTTATAGTAGTGCATTAAACAGCATTCTTTCCTCTCTAAAACAAGACCAACCGCTTGTTTATACGACACTACTAGTCTGAGATATTGTATTGTAATCTTAGCTCATGCAGACATTACGTGTGTGTAGAAATCGACTTGAATAAATGTCTCTCGCGCCTATTCTCGATTGGAAAGTCGATATTTCCGTGATAAATTTATGAATGAGAGGCACTCGATAATAATCGATCGCCTTTGGAAGGAACAGATTTAGACTGGTTAACGGCGGTCTGATTGGCGGCGAAAAGGTTCGTTTCTCTTGGAGTGTTTCGTAGTGTATGATCTGTGACATTTAAAGAATGTTTCGAGAATTATTACCTTCATCAACATCGTTTATAAGGTGAGTCTCTTGTAAATACTATTTCTAATTATATTGTTAGTATTACTCGATACAACTACCTAGAGAAGTACACTGTAACATATTAGCCGCTTCCTAGGCTAGCCAGTGTAATACGTACTTGGTACAGTGTAGATAGAAATGAATAGAGTATAACAGTCAGATTCAATGTCCATGTAATAGTAGCTAGGGTCCCTATATACAGAGAGTTGCGCCAACTCAGGATTTGACGCCATATTGTTTCCAAATGGATCCACATCGCTGCCGCTTAAGTACAGCGCTGTATGGATACGCTGTACAATGGTCCGTAGTAATTAATTAGACTAATCGTTCTTCAATAAACTCAAAATTTACAGAGATTATAGCTAAGACATGTGTCTATGTGTATCTAGATTTCTAGCAATGTAACTCAAATCGTTCGCGCCATATGATAGTTTAATTGTACACTTTTTTACCGCCCATGGCCGTGCGTATATTAACCTGTGCGATACCGCGCGTAGATACTTGCTAATTAATTAAACCACTCGCGCTTCAATAAACTCAAGAATCACAGAGATCATAGATAACACATGTGTTTATATGTATCTAGATTTCTAGAAATGTAACTCAAATCGTTCGCGCCATATGATAGCTTAATTGTACACTTTCTTAGTGTAAACACAGCAGCCAGTCATTTTGGAAGAATAATAACAACTGTAATTCACAAGATAAATGCGTTCCACTCTCCACTCGCTCGCAGCTGTAACATGTGTTTTGCAGTTCTAGCAATTAATCTAGATACACATAGACACACGTCTTAGCTATAACCTCTGTAAATTGTGAGTTTATTAAAGCACGATTAGTCTAATTAATTACTACGGACCATTGTACAGCGTATCCATACAGCGCTGTACTTAAGCGGCAGCGGTGTAGATCCATTTGGAAACAACATGCCGTCCAGCGATCACGTGACCGATTTTTTCCGACTCGTCATAGCGCAACTCTCTGTATACAGGGAGCCTAATAGTAGCCGCATGCTGACAATGAAATATAAACAGTGGAACTTGTAACACCAGCGTTTTGTGATTAGTCAGGCACGTTCAGAAATAGAACAACTCCATATAGTTAAACGGACTGCCATGCAGTTCATAGTTCGTACTTATGTGACCGCCGTGCGAATACAGTAGTAACAATGTGTGCGTATTCAAATTCATTTTCACACTACATGTATATTTGTTTCATTTTTAGGTATGGCTCATTCTTCACTAAGGAAATGGCTCTTTCCTCAAACAACTGCCAGTGATTCGCAGACCGAGCGCTCATTGCCATAAAAGCAACAATAAGGTTGTTTAATGACTAATTATGATTTAGTTTAATATAATAATATCAAGAGTAAGATAATATAGGAGGAGTATGACACTCTAAAACACGTGAAATTCAACATTTGCTTGCCTAATTTTACCGATGATATATTACGTGCAACTCGATAAAAATTACATCTAAATTAGCGTTGGGCATCCACCGCACACTCAAACTTTACTTTGTTTCCATACCTCTTCTTTTATGGAGATATAGCTTTGGACGCCACACATGGTTTATAGCGTTTGACTATGGTGGTTGTTTACGTTTGCCTTCACGTTCAAACAGTGGCTAGCTTGTGAGAAATGGTATTGTTTGTTGACAAGAATGCCACTTGTTGGCGGCAAGTAAGATAATATATGATATTATATAATATAGGATAATATAGTATATGTGTGTAAATATATAGTGTGTATATATGTGTGTATATATATATATACGTGTATATATATAGGATAATATATATAGTGTGTATGATATAATATAGAATATAATAGAAGATCCTGTATTATCTTACTCCTGCCGCCAACAGGTGGCATTCTTGTCAACAGACAAGACCATTCCTCACAGGCTAGCCACTGTTTGAACGTGGAGGCAAACGTAAACCACCACCATAGTCAAACGCTATAAACCATGTGTGACGTTCAAAGCTATATCTCCATTAAAAGAAGAGGTATGGAAACAAAGTAAAGTTTGAGTGTGCGGTGGATGCCCAACTCTAATTTAGATGTAATTTTTATCGAGTTGCATGTAATATATCATCGGTAAAATTAGGCAAGCAAATGTTGAATCTCACGTGTTTTGGAGTGTCATACTCCTCCTATATTATCTTACTCCTGATAATATCAGGAGAGAATAATAATAGAGGAGTATGCTCGCTCGAAATACAAGAAATTCAAGATTTCCATGCCCAAATTTACATATGATTTATTACGTGGAATCCATTATTATTCACTTCTGATAATATATAATAATATATATAATGTGTTCTGTAACATATGTGCCTATAAGCACGTGTGTTTCACGTAGACTAGAGTAATGGAATCGCATTGTATGTCAAATGTATTATTTCATATATTGCCTATGTCACCATTGTGCATACCTATCGCCCATTTCCCAATTGAGTATTGACCTTTCCCCAAACTTCTTTTTGACCTCTTTGTGGGAACTGAGAATGCCCAAAAGCCTGTCTGGCCTCGAGACAGCACTGCGCATTAGTTCAGCGTCTGAGCGAAAACTTGTGAAACATGTCAGAATAGATTGAGAATAAAAGCATATTTAGTACTACAAGAGACTTTAATATTGTTTATATAAAGGCTCGTTGCACCTACAACTTACTGAATCTAGTTGGTTCTGGGACACCCCTGAATCTAGTTGATATTTCAAAAGCTACTCACTATAATGTAGTGATCATATGATCATATATGGTAATATGGTAATAAAATGATCACCTTAGTGGTATTATATTATAATACCACTAAGGTGATCATGCAGTTTCATACATAGCTTTATTTATCCCTGACATAAAAATCTATTATGATTCATTTATGAGTCACTGCCATGCTGTGTGAGATTCCTTATTTGCGCAGATGAACTACATTATTCAGTCTTCTTATAGCCATGTCGTAATAGCACTTCGGTATTCACATGTATCCTTATCGCTATATATATACCGGCCGAAAACAGTGGTCATTGTTTATACATTAGCCGGGTTCTGAACTTGTGTGTATAAGTAGGGCCTACTACGCTGTATATAAAATACAGTATATGTATTTGCATTTTAATTATATGCAGTAAAGATTTAAAATAATAATAACACTAGTATAATGTTTTCGTTTTCCATTTTTACTGACTACATGTACGCTGGAAATTAATTCATTTCGCTAGACAGACACATCCTAGGTGAAAGAGTGCATATTCGGTTTCAATTTTCATATGTGGGGCTTACGGACGAGGCTCGTATCACTATACTGTCTCGTCATTGTAACGAATACCAGTCTTAACATGATTCAGCATCCATAATCCATAATCCATAATCCATGATCCATAATTCTCACCATTTCTGTAAACGGATGACGAATTTAGCCACGTATAAAAAACTTTGCATGAAAAATTTTGTCATTATTAAAAACAAAAAAGTACATGTTATTAAGTTTATTGTGTACCTTATTATTCGCCCATTTTTACTGCAAACGGGTTATGGTCATTTACAGTCGTATTACTATCATTTATGTTACAACGGCGTAAGCGTATTTTGTTGAGCTATACTAGCGACAACTGCTCCAATCCTCCGCATGCGACTCGACAGGGATTTCAGACGCCCAATGCCCTAAACACGTAGTAGGCGCATGCAAGCAAGCAAACACCGTATGTACACAACCGTACTGTGTTCGCAGGCGAATACATGTCTTACTCGACCGTAGACGCATTTCAAACTAATGACATAAGTGATTGATACAGTTTCTCGTTCGCGAGACCAAAACATTACACTCCCGGCCGATTGGCTGTGAATGATTGCAGCAGTTGTCGCTGTATCGTTCAACAAAATACGCCTACGCCGTGTTTGAACACAAATGATAGTAATTAATACGACAGTAAATGACCATAACCAAAGCCTTCGAATCAACACCGTGTTTTGAATACAGTTTACAGCAATAGGGCATAATAGGGGGATACACCGATTTCAGTACAGGATAGACGACTAATAATGGTACGAAATAAACTCATGAACATGTACATTTTTGTTTTTATTTATGCCAAAGTTGAAAAGCGGAATAAACGCGAGAAAATACGTTTTAATCAAACCCCTTTGAGGTTATATACTCCTGATATACATCATATATATACATTTATTTCGGTTAGTGAGGCTGCACATGTATGCCACCTGCACCTGGCCTGCATCTTAAATTTTAAATATTTAATATAAATAATAAGGATGAAAATCCAAGCTTCATACGCTTTCATTACATTTTATCAAGAGCTTATAATAGCTATTACAAGCTTTTCATATTATTTATTTCTTATCTAAGGCTATTAACGTTCAGTGAGTCTTATTCTAAAAACCATTATCAACAAAACATTCATAATTAAAAATTATCACCGATATCAGAGCAACATTCGTTATTAATCATTAGCGTTAAAGCACGTGCCTAACACGGGGCGGTGCCACTACCCACCCAGTGAAGTGTTGTGTCTTGATATTGTTAGTCTATGCTACATCATACATGATAGGGATAGGTCAGTTTTAAATTATCGCATTTATTAAAACTAGCGCGCGTATGTAAGCTGAATTAATCTACGCCTAACACGAATGACCTCTGAACCGCAGGTGACCACGGAGACGTGCTACCGTTTGACGGGCCAGGTCCATCCGTAGCGCACTCATTCTTCCCATACATCAGCAACGAATTTAATGGTCACGTGCATTTCGACGAGTACGAGGATTGGAGTCTGGG